GCAGCTACAGAGATTAGAAGAGGGTGGAAGAGGAGACAGGGCATTTTTGTTCAAGGTGACTTCTCTGATGGAGGTAAAATACAACCTCTAGCAAGTGACTACAGAGAGCTCACCTGCAGGGCCAAAGGTGGGGTAGCAATGGCCCCACCTTCACTGGCTCAGAAAGAAATTGAAAGAAATTCAGCCAAGCCTTCAGCGGCTCAGAAAGAAATTGTTACTGGCTATGGGCAAATGGGCATGTGGAGAAGTGCTTTTCACTAGGGAGAGGAGTGTATTTTATGAACTTTGGGGCTAGGTCATGGCATGGAAAGGATGAAAAGGTGGTTGTGTTTGAGCTGACTTGGGAATCCAGTTGTAGAGTCTTGGAAGCGGGTGGCTTGACTGTGGTATATTGAAGCAGTGCTGACACTCTGCCTGGGGAGTAAGTGCCCTCTCTCTACTCAGGTAGCAGGATCTCATCTGGAGCAGTGCGCAAAGTCATCAGACTTTACTGCGTGACTTCAGTGTCGTCTGTGAACCCATTAGACACCCATGTTCTTAGTGTTGGGCTAGCTTCTGTGGGACGTGTTTTGGGGAATCTGCTGGCAAGAGTGTTCAAGGAGGATTAACTAGCAGATTGAATCACTCACACAGTAGGTTTTCTTCAGCGGTGTCTTAAAACTGCTATTCCTAGAGTGGAGTGCTTTAGAAGAAACCATATTCCACCCTTGAATTTATTTTCTAATATCCTCAGATGAAAAACATCTAAGAGTGGTGGTAAATTAAGCCAGGTATTCAAAGATAGTTTTAGTAACTGCAGTGCAGCTAGAACCTTGCAGTTCTAAACATTTAAAAGATTAAAATGTAAATATTTTAAGGATTTAAAAAATTATGTAAAACATGTGGGTTCAAGTATAAGTTAATGGCATGCATGCAAGATTTTAAAAAAGATTTGTAAGTTTTTTTTTTTTCTTTTCTGATGTTATGGTTGGAATGATCCCCCTGGATGCTAAACACTCTCTCTCTCTCTCTCTCTCTCTCTCTCTCTCTCTCTCTCTCTTTCTCCCCCCCACCCCAAACCCTTTTAAAGGAAAAACATTTTTTTTCATGGTACAGGTGAAGTAATTGCCTTCTCCATTTTAATTTTTATTATTTTCCTTTTGCAACAAAAGAGACCTTTGAGACCAGCAATGATGCCCCAGTCCCTGGTGAGGCAGGCAGTAGAGGAGAGTTATTTCCCCTTGGTGCTCCAAAGAGCATATTAAAATGTGCTTTATATCGTTAGTGAAGACTTAATGGCTGGCAAACAGAAGACATGATCTAGCTTCAAGTAAATTGTAAGATTGCTGTGGAGGCCTGTTAAATCTGGAGTGCCTGGCCTCTTATTTTTTTTCTATGGGGATGTGCTGTGTTTACAGACACTGAACCAGAGGGTTGACTTGGGATAGGCTACAGACATTCAGTCTCCCACAGTGTCTAGAGGATGCCTTTGTCTTTAAAAAGGGACTTCATTTTTTCCTGAGAAAACTTCATTTCATTGGCCTATCAGTTTCTTTGTCTGCTGAACTGCAGTGGTTTTATGACTTTAATCTGCTTTGAAATGGCATCTATTTCTGTAAAACGGATGTTCTTCAGAGGGTAGAAGGAAAGGCTTATTGTTCTAAAAACAATTTTGCTTCCTGATTATAGCAAAAAGTTCCTGTTTATGCTCAGAGACTAGAGACTTTGGGGGGAAAATAGCTTACGTTTTTGAAAGGGTCTTTGTAATAGTAATGGTCTTGTGAGTTTTGTCTTAGGAAGTACATTTGGGGAGGTTAGAAATTTCTTCACTTGCGCTTCAGGTTCCTGATAAAATGGAAACTGGAATACTTCAGGTGATTTAGCCCCTCTGCATTTCGTTTTCTGTAGTCAAAGTATGTTGAAATAAAGCCATTTGGTGAATCTCTACAGAGGAATTAAGAATTAGAATCTAAGAATATACTTCTCAGAAGGCTACCTGTCCTGTCCGGTCTGGGAGACAATCTTGCTGTGGGATCTGCACGGCTTTCTCTGATGGCTTTGTGCTCAGGCTGCTGCGAGCTTCTGTCTGCTCTGCATCTCACCTCACTCACTCCTTTAGTGTCTGGCTGGGTAGGGAGAGGCAACTCACACCACCCAGAAGAGGGTTTGAGCAAAGACTATCAGCTAAGAGGAAAGAAAAGAAGCTGTTAGGGTGGCACCTAGGGCAGGTCAGGGCGGGCTGCCTTGAGCTTCAAGGTCGAGGTCAGTTCTCCTCCTGCCTGGAACCTCATAGGGTTTTGACTGTGGAACGGCAGGTGCTCACAGACAATTCATGCCTCCCTGAAAAGAAGCTTGTCTCCTCTCCCCTTTTTGCCTTTTAGTTGTTTGTCTCACTTGTCTCACCACTGAGCCATTCAATATCCAATGCTTGAGAAAAACTCCAGGTGGTTTTCTCCTTCCCTCCATTCTGCTTCCTTCCCTCACCTATAGTCATGGTGTTTTCATTCCCTATTAGTGCCAGTCAGAGAACAGAGATTTCCTGATGTACACCAAGCTGTGTCCGTAGGCCCCAGTGACACATTGCTTTTTAGTTGGCAACAAAGGCTAATTTCTTAGTTACAAAATAAGGAACTTTAAGTTTGTGCAAAATCTGCTTGCTAAGGTGCGTAGTTCAAGCTAGACATCATTGCCTTCTGGTTAGCAAAATAATGTAGAATAGCTCTGCTATGCCACTTTATAAGCTGCTTGGGACGTAGACTGTTTGAAGAGGTTTCTTTAGGGATGACTTACTCTAAGAGTAATAGAAGAAACTCTAGAGTGCTTTGACCAAGTTTGTAGTCTAGTTAGGTATCTAACATACATGAAATATTTAGACAGGATTTTATGGTCATGTATTGCTTGCATGATGTCCATTTAAAAGTAACCCCTCCACAAACATCATGATTATGTGTGATGTGTTTGATTTACACAGCTTGGTACATATAGAAGGAAAAACTGCTTAAAAAATAATGCCAGACATTAATAGTGCAAGACAGCCCATTACCGCTTTCCTGTATTCTGTGTTTTGTAATGCAGGCTCAGTAACAACTACCAACAACATAACCACTTATGTTAGGGACCATATTCTGTTGTTTTCCATATACAAGTTATACATATTGTCATATGACAAAGAAATAAGGGTAGCAGTCATTCATAAATTACATATATTCTATACATACAAGTTATACATTGATAACTCAGACTTTTAAAGTCCACATATGTTATACTAACAGACAATGTTTATGACATATACTATTACTCAGGAATATGACTCTGAAAGAGCTATGGAACTCTACAGTGTTATGAAACCAGCAGCTTAATAAGGCACTGTTCAGTCAAGGAACTGGCCTTTTTATGTTGGCTTCGCATGGTTTAGGAGAGAGTGCTTTTGCTGCTACAAGACCTGTTCTCTGCTGAGGCTTTAAAGTGATCTTTCCTTTGATTCTGTCTCTGAGATCCAAGTTCTTGTTTCATAGTAGAAACAAGACCCATAATGTGTCATTTAGACTTCTCTTTTTTCAAATGTAGTTTAAAAATCGTTTTTCTAATGATTTTTTGGTCAGTCAGTATAACTTGCTTGATGAATGTTAAATGAATGTAAGTAGTTTTGTCTGTTTGCCTTGAAAGGAGTGTAGGCCTTGGGCAGAGTCTAACAGGCTCATAGGGAGTTCAGTAGAAGGACTAGTGCTGACAGTTAATTGAACTGAACACAAGTCTTATTCACTTGAAAAGGATAGGTCTTATGGCATGTGAATTGTCATGTGTTAAGCTGGTACTTAAAGGGGAGAGTTTTAATTTACAAATATCCTAAAGTATCTTTGTTTTAGATTTTGACCGAGTTTTAGAGGAGAAAACACTCATTCATATTGTTGCTGTCATAAACCGTGTAGCTCTAGGTGTGTATTCGAATCCTAAAATAGAAATTCCTTTCTGGCTTATTATATATGGGTGTAAATAGGACTTCGATTTTTTACTATTCTGAACTTTCATTAATTACTTTGAATATTTTCTTATTGTTATCTAGAGAAACAAGAAACTTTTCCTTTTTTAAAAAAACATTTTTTATTATTTTTATTTTATGTGTACGCATGTATTGCCTGCATGTACGTAAGTGCACCCATGTTGTGCAATGCCCACGGATCCTTGGAACTGGAGTTATGGACAGTTGTTAGCTGCCATGTGGGTGCTGGGATTCTAACCTGAGTCTTCTGCAAGAACAGTGAGTGTTCTTAACCGTTGAGCCATCTCTCCAGCCCCCAACTTTTCCATTAAAAAAAAAAATAACTCTATGGGAGGTAGAGAGATGGCCTAGTGGTTAAGAGCATTGTCTGCTCTTGCAGAGGACCCAGATTTGGTTCCTAGCACCCATGTGGTAGCTAACAACCATCCATAACGCCAGTTCCATGGGATCTAAAACCCTTTTCTGGCCTCTGTGGGCAGTGTGTGCATAGGTTCACTTACATGCAGGCAAAACACTCAGACATATAAAATAAAAATAAATTTTTAATGAAATTTAAAACGTAACTATTTCTAAATATAAGAAAATTTCATTTTGTTAAGAATTGAAAATGTAATTCACACTCAATTTTTAAGTAGTTTTGAAATAACATACATTAATTTAATAATAAGAAAACAGTTTGAATAGTGATCATAGGCAAATATCCATACTTTGAAACAAAAATAGTGTCTTTGCTATTTTGATGTATTAAAAAATACATGACAAAGATCTGCTGATGAGGAATTTGTTTTGATAAGTTTAAGTTGGTTTATTTTATATTTCCTTACATTTCATGCATGTTCTGAAGTCAGCTGTAATGGATGTCATTTGTACATGCTAGGTTTTCTTTGAATAATGTTTATTATAAAGTCTAAGAAAATATGTATTAAAAATAGCTACCTAGAGTTTAACTTGTAATATTTTATTTTAAAAAAGTTTTCTTTCCTAACAAGTCTAATAATTTCTACCCTTTTCTTTGGAACAGGACCTGGAAATAGTGTATTCCTATTTACATGGCATGGAGGCCTTGTCAAACCTGAGAGAGCATCAACTTAGGTGTGTATGTGATTTCAGTAATTTAACAGTGATAAAATGCTTATATATTTAATAATTTAACAGTGATAAATGCTTATATATTTAGTAATTTAACAGTGTTAAAATGTCTATATGTTCACTTATTAGTAAGAAATGGGCTTAAAGAAAGCTTAGCACATGAGCATCCTGCCTGATATAACCCCTATACTTGGCCTGGTTAAGTTTTACAAGGTTGAATTCAGTTGTATTCAGATACTTTTTGATATTTCTGTGTAGTACTATTCTTATACTCCCACACCAGAGTTTGTCTCCCCTCCCTAAAAGTACTAAACCTCATTTGGTGCTTCTACCAAAAATGGCATTATTTGTTGTTCTTGGATATGTATGTATGTATGTATGTATGTATGTGTGTGTGTGTGTGTGTCTGTGTGTGTGTGTGTCTGTGTGTACTCGCATATTAGTGACCAGAAGATTTTTAAGTGTTCACAGAAAGATTAGGCCTGTTGTTTTAGTGTGGAATGAATATACTTCCTACATTAAGTAGTTGGCCTCTTTCTGGGCAGCAGTTTATAGCACACTAGCTCCAGGGTGGTGTGCTCATATAAATATCACGTCTATTGTACAGGGACAACAGAGTAGCTTCATTTATGATTACCTGAATTTCATGATAAAGAAGTGATTTGGCCTTAACTGCAGTATTGTGAAGGACTCTGGGAAGATGAATTACATATAAATGCCAACTAGGATGTACTGAGGAAGTCTTACTTGCTTTAGCTCTGGCTAGTTGTAATACCAGCTGTTTTTAATTATGAAATGAATACTTTACCTGTATATTTCCCCCTTACTCTTTAAACACTAATTTGTGAGCATGTCAGTTTCATATTTGACTGTAAATTGAAAAACGTATCAAGAGGATTGAGTGCTTCTAAAATTAATTTTTAATGAAAATCATTTAAATTAAAGTCAATTGTAGATTAAGTGTTTAAAAATTCAGTCAGATTTTATTAGAAAGGGCAAAACCATTGGGTTTCTGGAAGCCAGCTAAAATTTTAAAGCAACGGTAATTTTTAAAGTATCTAATTTTTACTTGATATTTTGTGATGACGATTTTTCTAAGGAAATTTTTTTTTTAGTGCTAACGGTTTACTTATTTGAATGCAGTCATTCATCAAATGCAAGTGCATATGATAAGCTAAGCGCTCCAAAGACACATGTGCATTGTGTGCATGAGCTGATGCATTGCCTGTATGAGATGCACAGGTGACTAGTATTTAGATACCTTGATACCTTGATACTTTTAGAATGTCTACTTACATAGTTATTTACCTGCTAGAATTCTCTGCAAGAGAGAAATGACTTTTAATAAAGATTAAAAAGTAGGAATAATACAAGGCAGTTCCACGCCCCCAGCAAGCTTAAGAATTACTCACTTTTTTGTTACCTCAGAGGTAATTTTTAGTTGGAAATGACTTATCTAAGGGTCTAAGGTCTAAGCTAGTCAGAAATGTTTCCGAGCCTGTACAGATTTCTTTATGGCATGGATTTGCAAGCAGGGATTTTTAAGATTCCCAACTTACTCTGCACATGTTGAAAAATCTTATTTATGGCAAACAGCTTAGACTAAATTTTTGTTTTTGTTTTTTTAGAACAAAATCACAATTATCACTGAATTTTAGCAAAAGTAGAGGCTCATATAAACCACTGAATTTTATAGTACTTCCATTTCTGGGAAAATATATACATTTCCTTTAGCTAAATTATTTTCTTTGTATTTCATTAAGTAAATGTTACCTGATTAGCAGAGAAAAGCTAGAGCCAATTGACACTAATATTTAATACAGTTTTCCAAGTTTAGAGAATCAACGGTGCCAGTCAAGATTTTTTTTTTTTTTTGTTCTTTTTGAGACAGGGTCTCCTTGTAGCCCCAACTGTCCTGGAACTCACTATGTAGACCAGGCTGGCCTTGAACTCACAGAGATCTGCCTGCCTCTGCTTCCCATCAAGATTTTAACTTATTTAATGCAATAGAGAAAAACATGCAGCAGTTAAGAGCAGAGCTCAGCAATCTGTAAGGGCAGAATAATCACTTGAGGATATGCGGTGTTAGGATTTTCCTCCCATTTTTGCTATGATAGAACCTGGGCCTTGTGTATACCACCAGCTCTATCACTTTTGTAACAAAAAAGCCTGTTCAAATATATTGTTTCCTTTAGCATTGGGGTTGAGTTTACTATTATTTTATAGAACTAAACACTCATCAAGATATCCACTCATGGGGCTATAGAGATGGCTCAGTGGTTAAGAGAACTGGCAGAGGATCTGAGTTTGGTTCTCAGCACCCACATGAGGCTAACAACCATCTCTAACTCCAGTTCCGGGGGATCAGATACCCTCTTCTGGGCTCCATGGACATCACAAGCACAGGTACATGTACATACACGCAGACAAACACTCATACACATAAACTAAAAATAAACAAATAAAGCATTTTTTAAAGACATCTACCATCTAACCATCTACTTAATAGACCCCCTTGAATATTGAATATCTAACAGCCACCTCATGTTTCAAATGTCTAAACAGATCTTGAATATCTCCCCCTACCTCAAGTCTGCTTTCCCCAAATCAGTAACCAAATGTTTGGGCCAACAACACTGGAGCTCTTGTCTCCTGTGTTTTCTTCATGTCCCCACACTTTGCTGGTATTTATTTCCAAAATTCATCCTCCAGAACTGACCAAGTTTGCCATCTCCTCTACTAAAACCTAGCAGTGAGCCCTCACTAGCTCACCATTATTTCTATTAGAACAAGTATAGACTTGCATGCCTGGTGACATTTTCCACCTAGCTTCAGGAGAGATCTGTCCCAACATTAATTCTGACCAGCTCACACCTCTGCTTTTAATCTCGCCAACCTTTGAAGGAAAAACAAAGTCGTTATGCTTCCACACAGGTCCTGTACTTTTTGCTATACTGACAGCACTGTTCCCTCCCTCCCTCCCTCCCTCCCTCCCTTCTTCCCTCCCTTCCTTCCAGTTTTTTTAAACAGGGTTTCCCTTGACTCTTCTTCACCCTAGACAAACTCTATTCTGAGGACAGAGTATCTGTGGCACATCCACACTATGGACATCTTTACAGGTGTTGCATCTATTCAAGTCACAAACTTTTGAGTCTAAATTCAGAGAAGCCTGGCACTCATTTATACTTAGCCCAACACACTGACAGCCAAAATGAGAGTACACCTGACTCTCCTGTAAGATAGTTACACAAGGAGACAAATTATGGCTAGTAAGACACATGGAAAGACAGGAGACCCAGGACAGGAAGCTGAAGGGAAATGGTATTGTAAGGAAAAAGGCAGACCAGATGCTGTGGGATGTGTAGAAAGCCTAGAAGACTGATTACTTTTAGATCCTTTTCTTTGGTGTTTCAGGAATGAAGTAATGGTGAAGTGGGAAGAGGGCAAAAAAATGAAGATAGAGTATATGGACAGCTGTAAAGATTGTCTTGAGATGGAAAAACAGAAAGTAGAGTGGCCAGGGGTTGGGTAGGGAGGCTCTCCATCACTACACTGTAGGGGACACCCAGGCGAGATGGCATGTTGTTGGGTGTGACTCAGCAGAGAGAGATGGTTAGGAACAGGAGGTAAGTGTGCAGGAACACCACCTTATGTTGGTGAGGACTGGATCCAGGGTACAAGAGAAGCTGCTTAGTGAGGGCAGGAAACAAGGCAGAGTCTGTTACTTAGATTAAAGCCAGATATTTTTAGACTCATTTCTTGTGACCATCCATTCCTATAAAGAATTGCAGTTCGACCAAAAAACCTTTAATTGAATTAAAGATTCTGCCTAAAGAAATTTTTTTAATTTAATATTGATTTGTGTTATATTTGCTTCTTATTTACAATGACATGATGAAGCTTAAAAACCCTGGAAACCAAAAGACAAGCAGGCCATTAATAAGCCCGCCTCCAATAGGCACTATCACTTGGGCTTAGTTACGTCTGCCTCTTGAGCCTCTGTTTTCCCATCTATAAAACATAATCATGATGATTGCCATTTTCTTCTTTCCTATTTGGTATGTGTTAGAAGCTTCAAAGTTTGTATATGAAATTTAGTAAAGTTGTATGCTGTTACATAAAATAGCCATATTTATTGAAATATTGTGAACATTGATTTCTTTTTAAAAAAGTATTTTTTTAATTTTGTGTATATGAGTGTATTGCCTGCATGCATGTAAGTGCACCCATGTTGTCCAGTGCCCGAAGAGGTCAGAAGAGGACATTGGATCCCATGGAACTGAAGTTACAGATGGTTGTTAGCAACCCTATGGGTACTGGGAACCAAACCCAGGTCCTCTGCAAGAGCAGCCAGTGTTCTTAACTGCTGAGCCATCTCTCTCCAGCCCCATGAACATCAGTTTCTTTCCTACTTTGTAGGAGGTATCAAATCACATTTTCAAAAACCACGAGAAAGACTATTCTTTAAAGAAAACCTGTGATGATTCTTTATGAAGCAAATAAAGAATTTTTATAGTACAAATTGTAAAAAAAAAAAATTAAATTTCCAGAAAAGCTAAAACAGAAGAATTGCAATTCAGTCTAGTAACAGAATGTGTTATTTGTTGCTGTGATTTTGCCTTCTGAGTTAAGTGATATTCTAGAGGTACAACCAGAGAGGAACGGAGGGCAGTCTGGACCAACCTGGGCTCAGTGTGTGAGGAGCACCCTGAAGGTGTCATAAGACCAGACAGGCATACACATCTAGCATTGAACATGGCACAAATTCCTGACGGAAGTGTTGTCCAAATGGCAGCGCGATTAGTGGACCTCGGGGAAGTAGGTCAGAAGTATGAGGCTTAGGAAGCACTCAGGGCAAAAGCAACTTCATTCTAGTTTGGTTGAAGCTGGTTTATTTTAAGCTAATTCCCAGGATATTAGACACTTTTCTGACTAATGACACCAGGGTCTGTGATATAAAACTCCACATTCCACACTAATGGTTTTGAGTATTCAAAGTATGTTGAGAAACGATGACGATGTCAAGGGAAGCAGAGCACCAAGTGTTACCTACAGGCAGTCAGGCCATTTTGACTCAAGATGGCTGCAGTTGTGTCAAGCTGAGTCTTTGCAAGGGGGCGGGGATAGCAGGAGCAGGGCAGATGAGCACCTGAGTAAGGACACCTGTGGACTCCCAGTGTTTGCTGGCTGGGCATAGCAGCCTTCTTTTCCAAATGAGGGTACTGTTGAGACAGTACCTCATGACCAGCCTTTTCTGTTCTGTTTTCATGAGAAAAAAATGATCATTCTCTGATTTGCATTTCTGATTATTCTAGAAAAGTTAATTGGGATTAGTATGGTAGGAGGCTTCTTGATGATGCTGTTCTTGAGGTAATTTTGAATATTTAAATATTACTCATGTTTTCACAGTTTCATAGTTTTTTCCTCAGGACTGAATTCACTGAAATAACAAACCTTTTAGTTCTAAGGCCTCCATTTAGTCATTCCTCATAAAAGTACTGAGTTAATTAAAGCCCATTTTTGTCTGAAATTCCATACTGTTAAGGAGCGTTAGTGTTGAGCTGTGAATGATGCTGTCACCTTTTAAATTAATAGGTTTTCCTTTCTGACCTGGGTTCCTACTTACTTTCTAATTTATTTACCTTAGGGAACATCATTTTTCCAAATACCATCTACAAAGAATCTAGTACATACTTTGTAAAGTGTGGCAAAATGGGGGTCTCATCAGAGGCTTTGTTTTCTAGCACATCTGCTGGAGACACAAATAGAGCAGATTCTAATTTGTTGTATTGAATTTTAACTCTGATGTCAATATTCATCTTGAAGGTAATAAATTTTAGATGAGTCATATGAAGTAATCGGAACTCTCAAGACTCCATGACTCATTTAAGGTTTTGAGCTAGGAGTGTTTTTAGTGACAGATGTTGAACTCATTGTCTTTCTCTTTTGCAGGTTAATGTGTGAAACTGTGAGATATGAAAGACACGAAGCAAATGAAGTTCTATACTAGTAGGTGTTTTCTTTCTGTTTATATGAAGTGTAATGTAGTGACTAACTTTCCTTAAAGTATCACAGGAGGGTTAGCATAGCTAGCTTAGTTAGTGTTGCCTTGGGACTGTGGGTATTGTGGGGAGAGGCTAACTCTCCACAGTTTAGAGATTTGAGATATTTCAACTGTTTCTTGTAGTAAAATGGTTAGTTCACATTTGTATCTGTATCTTTTATGTAGAGATAGTAGAGATAGTATTTTTATGTTGTGGAGTCTTTTGCCATTCTTGCCATTTTGAAATATGAAGCAGCAAACAGTCTTTCTAGCAGAACAAATAGCCTCACCAGATGCAAGGGAGAGGAGGTATCACAACTCAGTGCATAAACAGGAAAATGAACTCCCATATCTCGGATAAAATTCCTTTTAGAAATTGTACTGATATCCCATTTAAAACATGGAACATATTTCTTAAGAACTGACAGCTGACTTTTAAAGAATGTGATAATCACATAGTAGATAAACACTGGCATTCTAAGGATATGTAAGCTGATTTACTAGACACACTATTTGGTTGATAATATTTATTGTGATTGATATTTACTGCTGTTTTTCGTAGCACTTGCGAAGTACTCCTTTTCAGGCAGATTATAATGAATACTTACTGGAAAAATAAAAAGGCAGCTGCTGCCTTGAGTCTATAATCTGTGAAGAGAGGTTGAATAAAAGGAAAACAAGAAAAACCACCAATTGAAAAACATATGAGCATAAAGATATGTTGAACTATATAAGGTGTGGGGATGGACCAGCCTGGGCTACATAGCAAGACCCTGTTTGAAAAAGGTCAGACATGTCAGAGTTCTTGAACTAGATCTCAGGAGTTGTGTCCATGAGTCTACAGAGACTTTTTTTGGGGGGTGGGTTTCCATAAACAGCAAACAGTGTGTTAGAGATGCACATGGAACAACAGACAGTTGAGGGGCGTAGGTGGAACAGACTGACTGCTGAGGGATGATGCAGCTGGAGGACTCATTTGATGCTTTGCTGCTGTGGTTGGTTTGGTTCACTTGGCCTGTGTGGCTGGACAGCAAGTCAAGAGAAAAGGTAGTTTTAAACAGTGGTCTTATTCTTAAGGCAACTACAGATAATTTTTTTTCCCTTCTAATAACACTTTGTCATAGACCATTTTAGAATCCTGTTAGCTAGAAACAGTGGACCTCAAGGCCCATCAGCCTTTCATCCTTGGTCAGGGATAGTTACATTCATCTTTGCCGCCTCCCAGCTCCAGCTGGATTGTTTGGAAGCAAATCCCACACACGTTAATTCTTCTATAGTTATTTTGATACTTTAAACGATAAGGAAAAGGGATAGAGAGATGATCAGTGGTTAAGAACACTGGCTGCTCTTGCAGAGGACTCAGGTTTGGTTCCCAGTACCCATATAGCGGCTACCAACCCCTCTTAACTCCAGTTCTAGGGGATCTGATGCCTTCTGACATCTGTGGGCATTTGCACACATGTGGTACACTTACATAACATGTAGAACATACACATAGAATAAATAAATAAATAAAAATTTTAAAATTAAAAAGATAAAGACAAGTGAGGCATGGTGGCACAGACCTGTAATTCTAATATGGGGAGGTTGAGGCAGGACTGTGACTTCAAGGTCACCCTGGGCTACATAGCAAGACCCTGTCTCAAAAAGCCAAATAAATAAATGATAGACCTAAAAACACACCTTAACTGTATTACTGTCATTAATTCTTCAAAAATAATTTAATATCATGAATATATTAAAAATTGTCTCAAAACTTGGTTTTTTGTTTGTTTTTGAGACAGGGTCTCCCTGTAGCCACAGCTGCCCTGGAGCTCACTGTGTAGATCAGGCTGGCCTGGATCTCACAGAGATCCACCTGCTTCTATCTCCTAAGTGCTGGGCCTAAAGGCGTGTGCCACCACACTCAACTCAAAACTTTGTTTATTAAACATTTTATTTATTTGAATTAAAATGTAAGTAAAGTCTTTCATGATCATTGATATTCTTGTTAAGTCTCTTTTAATATGTAGTTTGGTGGTTGGTTTTCAAGCAGCAAAATTGTTTGACCAAATGTCTCACAGCCTAGGCAGTGACCCATGGCTACAGGAGAAGAGGAAGAATGTCTATGATCCTAGAGTCAAGGAGCTAGCTGAGGAGCCAGCTGTAGTAAGCCAAAGGGGAAAGGGCCCAGCCAGATCCCAGGTCACCCTAAATGGAATGTGTGTGACTTGGTTGTAGCAATTACGTCTGTCTGTTTAGAATTATGTCACAGTGGTAGTGAACAAAGAAAAGTGGATATTCAATAAATTCAAAATTCCTAAGAAAAGTAATTCATACAGACTGACTGTAGCTTCATGTAATTGGGTTTCCAGTATTTGGCTGGTATAGATGCAAAGCATAAATGAGGTCTTTTCTTTTGTGGCCCTGCTCTTACCAGCTTGTGTAAGTGTACTTTGAAAATTAAAGGATAGCCATATTTGTAGTCTATATAAATGTACGATGATGTAATAGTACCCCACTTTTGGGGACCTGCTGCTACTATCTTGTGGGGAGCTGACTTGGCTCTCTTTCTCCCCTGAGCTTAGTTTGAAGAACATGGCATAGTTAGGGGATCAATGATTTTGAGACTCTGGTGTTACGAGTCAGAGATGAACAGCCATTTCTCTACTATGCATGTGTATTGGTGACTGCTAAGTCTATAGTTTTAATAATTTCTCCAGGTAAATATGCATTTCTTTTCCCTGGAACTCACTATGTAGACCAAGCTGGCCTGGGACTCAAAAAGATTTGCCTGCCTCTGCCTCCCATGTTCTGGGACTAAAGGCTGCCTCCCGAGTACTGTGCCACCACACCTGGCAGGTATCAATTGTTTTAACATAAGCACATGATATGCTACCAGTGCTGCCCATCTAAATTGTGTTGAGATTGGGGAGAGAGTTGTAGGTCTGATAAAATAGCATTTTTCAAGATTTGGAGATACCTATTTAAGGTTGAATTATAGTTGTTTATATTAGTAAGTTAGATAAACTTAATGCCAACATGGTGGTACATGCCTTAACTCAGCACTCACGAGGTAGAAGTGAGGAAGGAGGAGCATGACTTTGAGGCTAGCCTGGGCTACATAGTGGTGCTCTATTCTAGCAAACAAACAAATTAGATGAAATTAGTTGAACTTTACACAGTAGAGAAGGCTATCAGGGCATTTTTGCATTATTTTCATTATATTACTATTTGCTAAGTTTTTTGGTGTCTTGGGAAAACTAAGGTGAATGATGTAAACTCCTAAGCGGAGGAACCTTCTCTAGTTTCATTTCTGTGGCTGTGATGAAACACTCTGACCAAAAGCAATGTAGGGGAAAAAGTTATTAGCTCACAGTTCCCGCTTCCAGTCCGTTAAGTGGGGAGGTCCCAGCAGCAGCATGTGAGACAGCTCATCACATTGCAGCTAGTCAGGAGCAGGGAAGTGAATGTGTATCTTCTCACCTGCTTGCTTGCTTGTGCTCAGCTCCATTTCTCTGCTCTTACACAGTGCATGACCATGTTCCTAGGGAGTGGTGCTACCCACACTGGGTTGGATCTTCCACATTGCTCACAGACATGCCCGCAGGCCAGCCCAGTGTAGACAGTCCCTCACTGAGACTTTCCTCCCAGGTGATTCTAGCTTATACCAACTTTACAATGAAAGCCAACCACCACGGGGCCTTAATTTAGAATTGTGCTTAAAAATTAATCTGAGGGTTGTGAAGATGGCCCAGTGAGGAAAGTGCTTGCCATGCAGGTGTGAGCACCTGAGTTCAAATCCCCAGAATCTATGTGGAACTGTGCTCTGTGCTGTACGTGTCTGTAATCCCAGTGTTCCTGCATCAGGGTAGGAGGCAGAGACAGGAGAGCTCCCAGAAGCTTCTGGGGCCAGCTAGCCTGGTGCACAGAGAATGTCTGAAACAAGGTAGAAGGTAAGGACCAATACCTCTGCCCTCCATCTGTGCTCAGTGGCATGCACATGCCTACACTTAATACATACATGTGCACATAAACACATTACCCAAAAGATTAAAAAAATAATAAAAATTTTAATTTGAAAACCCTGTATAGAGAATAGTGAAAATTGCAGCACACCATGAAATAAATGAAGGGTAATCAGCTGGGAATTTGCTGAAGAATTCTTAGCTTGAGCATGATAATGGAGTGTCCACTACATTCCAGTCTGCTTTAGTTTTTCCTAATGGGCTGGCCATCTTCATTATTTCCATTTAATGAATAGTTATAGTTAAAGAACTTAAAACCTGTGTACCAGGAAGTTAACTACTGGAGAAAACATACACACATGCACACCTATATTTAAGCATGTCTAGCTGTGCCTCGGGGACCTTTTTCCACACACAGATCTGACTGAATGCTTTGCTTTCCAGAAGAGGTTTTCATAGCACTTTAAGGGTTTATCTCTTTATTCCGAGAAGAGATGGCTTCTCTAAGAAACAGCTGCATGGAGGCCTATTCCGTCTCACAAAGCCTTCTCTTTTTCATCTGCAAATGTGCCCCTTGATTTTAGCAGCCTGTTCCCTTCCTGGTCGGGTTTCTCTTCAGACAGCTTCTTCACTTCTGAGGGCAGCAGACCCATTGCTGTCTCTTCTCAGGCTCCACATGTGCAGCTTGGCCTGGGCCTGTATTTCTTGTGCTCCTACCTGGTTATTGCTGTCTGTGCTTGCCTCTGTCTTCCATCTTGAGAAATTTCTCCCTTGATTCTTTCCAGCTCCAGCCATTGTTAAGCACCCCCCCCCCGCCACTTTCAGGATGTGGCTGAGCTTTTATTTTATATTACAACCTTCTTTATAAATTACAAAATGAACACTTCATCTACTATTTACAGTGCATTACTTCCCCCTCACCCTGGAAAAATACTTTGTCTTCTTTTTCTCCCCTCCGCTCCCCTCCCCTCCCCTCCCTTACCCCC